AAAACAACCAAGATATTGTCATAAGTAAAGCTGATAAAGGTAATGCCATAGTCATTTTAGACAAAAAAGATTACATAGAAAAAATGCAAGAAATCCTAAAACAAAAACAATTCATACCCTCTCTAAAATCTTCACTCACACATAAAGAAAAAGCCATGAATTCATACCTTAAACAACTAAAAAAAGAAAAAATAATTGGGACAACACTATTCTATCAATTACACTCAACTTCTTCCTCACTAGCTGTTCTATACGGCCAGCCAAAAATTCATAAACTAAATTACCCACTACGTCCAATAATATCATCTGTGGGAGCATATAATTACGAGCTATCTAAATATCTTTCAAACATCATAAAAAACAATCGACCTTCAAAATCGATTTCATACATCAAAGATTCCTTTGAATTCGTGAAAGAAATAAAGAATATCAGTAATAGTAATAATCAAACTATGATAAGTTTTGACATAGACAATTTGTACACTAACATACCAGTACACGAAGCAATAGAAGTCACATTAGACACACTATTCAAAAAAGAAAAAGATAAACAAACAACAATTCCATTTAATCGCGAACAATTCAAAAAACTTCTAGAATTAGCAATCTGCGAAGTGCCATTTCGATTTCTAAACAAAACATACATTCAACAAGATGGAGTTGCAATGGGTTCTCCCCTTGCACCCATCTTAGCTGACTTATTTCTATCAAAATTAGAACTAAAATTAAATAAATTTTCAACCAATAAGCCTCAACTATGGAAAAGATACGTGGATGACATTTTTTGTATCTTTCATTGTTCTCAAAAAATTCCGGACTTTCTAACGCGCATTAACAAATGGCATCCTAATATAAAATTCACACTTCAAAACGAAGAAAATGACCAAATAGCATTTCTAGATGTTCTTATTATAAGAGACAAAACTAATAATACATATATAACTACTCTATATAAAAAGCCTACAAATACTAACCTATATATGCTTTACGAAAGCAACCAAAGTAGACAATATAAAATTGGTCTAATAAGAACTTTAGTTATAAGAATATTACTCATTTGCTCAACCACATTACATAAAGAAACAGAACTAAATACACTTCAAACAACATTAATACATAACGGATATCCTGTTCACTTAATAAAAAGAGGGATACGTGAAGCGAATTGTATAGTAAATAAAATGAACAATAAAAAAGAACTAAAACAACAATCACCAATAAAAAATAAAATATATTTTGTCTTACCATACTATGGTACCGAATCACTCATACTAACACAGAAGATTAAACAAATATGCAAAAAATTCATCCCAACATGCCATTTACAAATAGGATTTCGTAAAACTTTCTCCTTAAAAAGTATATTTCTTCCTATCCAAAAAGGACATGATGAATCGAAAAAACTAAAGAAACTAGTATATAAAATAAAATGTAATAACTGTGAAAAATGCTACATAGGAGAAACCAACAGAGAAAAATTAACTAGAGTTAAAGAACATCAAAAAGATATAAAGAAATTTTCAGAAAAATCGAACATAGCAAAACATGTACATAATCATAAACATTCCTTTAAATTTGATGAATCCGAAACATTAGCATTAGAAACTAATTGGAAACGACGTACAATAAAAGAAAGTCTCTTCACAGAAGAAACTCATGGACAAGCGATCAATGATGTAAAATTCAAATTAAAAGTATTTCAATAATTTCTACTATTACATCAATACAATAATAACACAACATCAACAACTACCAAAAATAATTATCATCATTCGTATTAATTTACTTCCAACAACATATCAACACACAAAATTCAAATACATTCCTAATAACATAAAAAAAAAAAAAAAAAAACTTAACTAAGTCCGAAAGGACTATTTTATGGTCCCAAACTAAGTTCTTCGAACTTTTTAAATTAATTCGAATTAATTTAAATATATGTAATCATGTCACCTTTGATCTATCAATGTAATCCATCATATACACAATTTTTTTTTTTTTTTTTTTTTTGTATTGTTATATATATATATAGTCTTATCTGTTTCTTGTTACTATTTCCTGATGATGACAATTGAAAATTGTCGAAAGCTCGAAATAAAATAAAAACGTTTTCAATGAAAATTGAAATATGATCTTCGTCGCAGTGTTATACTCATTAATTACTTACTAGGTTTATATTCTCGATAAAATATAAGCAATCAATCTTTCAATTTCTTTGAAATATTCCAATCAAAATATTCACTTATTACAGAACTATCAATCTTATCTAGAAGTAAACATATTTTTATTCAATTCGAATTTCGTAAAAACTGTCATTTAATAGAATAATATTTTGACAGGTCTGCATCTTCTTTGCAAGTCAAACAATGACAAAGTTCTTTTTTTATCATTGCTATATGTATATATATTGATTATTCGAACGAAGAAAAAACACAAAAAAAGAGCCTAGTCTAAGCATAAATGTATGATAGAATTCATGTAGGTGACAGCTTTCAATCTGAACGTGTTTAAAAGTCAACTGGTACTCGAGACTTTGTCTGAATTAATAAGTAAATAGAAATATTTTAAATCAATTCAATGAAAAGAATAAAAAAAAATTAGACTAGAAATTGACCCAATGACTTTTATCTGATATGCATTTCCTAATATATACATAAAATAATAGATATGAGCAGAGTGAACATTTTGCTAGTGTCTTGAATGGATGTTCTTTTGTATTTCATGTCATTGGAAATTTCGTTTTTATTATCTCCGATATTTCAATAATTTTTCTTCGTCTATGACTGTATGTCTGCATAAAAAATGTCCTGTAGGTGTTTCTTCTGGATTAACTGATACTTTTAGAGTTTTGTTTTTCATTACAAGTAGAAAAATAGATATATTATGGAAAATAAAATAAAATAGCGATTATTATCGAATTTTTGGTTTGCTTATGTTGGAAATAATTGTCATGTCATTGTAAAATATCACAAAAACTAACCAATTTTTGCGCATGCTTTCTGAAATAATTTGAGAACAAGAAAATATCTATTTCTGATTTACCATTATAGTCAGAGAACACATTGACACTGAAAATGATATAAAACATTATTCACTTATGTGCTAAATTTTTGAGAAAATTCAAAATACACTTTTATTGAAGCATCATTTCTTTTTTCATTTTTTCCTTATCATACACTATAAAAAAATGCGGAAACTTCGGATTTAAATCCGAGAGTTATGTGTACTTCAAAAAGTGAATCATACAAATCAATCATCCTAGACTGTCTGAATATCAAAATTATACTGTGAAATCTACCATTTAAAATGTTGATTTCTATTGCGCGTTGCCAAACCAATAGGACATGGGACCGAATACAGCTCAAGTTTGAACTCTTTGCCTTGATTTAGGCCCCGAACAGACTGAACAAGATAAAACTGAATTAACCAATACAATTCGCGTTGCTATGCAAAAAGGCCAATCGTGTTTCTTAATTCACTTTGAATTAGTCAGCCTGTTCGGGACCTTACCCTAAGAAAGTCGTTTTTCCTATAACTTCATTTCTATTGGTCACTGCACAACTAATAGTATTTTGATGGAAGTGCAGTACACATTCGAGTTCTCCATATCTGAAAACCTCGAAGTATCATCAGTGTGACCGGAAGATAAAGCTCTATTTGTGGATCAATTAGATCGTGGACCAAAATATAACCTAGTTCTCTTTAATTATCCTTGTCATTGGTAAGTCAACCTTCTTGTTTCTTTATGTTTTATATATCATTTTGTAGTTCTTGAAATTCTCTATCGAATGGTATATAATAGTTGGGGTTTTAATTGACTATGATAGGAAAAGTCTTTTACGAAAGTCGCGACGGGTCCATTTTTCCACAGAAAGCTATAGGAAAAAATGGGTACTTTTCCAATAACTCAGGAATAGCTCGGCCGGTCCTTCTCATCTTCGAACTCGACCGAGATATTGTCAAGACTAAGCGGTGTAGAAAATTTCATCGCAATCTGACTCTCCTTTCGAAAGTTATCGTGTATACGGCCGGATGGACGGACGGACACACTAACCGATTCTATAGAGTACTCACTTTTTGAGTACACAAAAAATAGGTACTTTGCTCAACTCTCCAAAAAGGTTTCGTAGGTGTCCAAAAGCTTCCAAATGCGTCCAAACGCTTAAAAAATGATTCTTAAAATCTACGAAACCTTTGAACGATCTGAGCGCAGATACACGATCCGAACCATCTCCTACGAAACCTTTTTCAAATTCCGTACAGAGAAAAAAAGGTTTCGTAAGAAAATACAAAACCTTTATAGTTTCCTTGCAAACCTTACGACTTCGTATAAAACCATAGCGCGAAACCATAAGGTTTACTAGAAAACTATAAAGGTTTCGTATTTTCTTACGAAACTTTTTTTCGCTGCACGAAACTTGAAAAAGGTTTCGTAGGAGATGGTTCGGACCGTGTATCCGCGCTCAGATCCTTCAAAGGTTTTGTAGATTTTAAGAATCGTTTTTTAAGCATTTGGACGCTTTTGGAAGCTTTTGAACACCTACGAAATCTTTTTGGAGGGTTCAACAAAGTACTTATTTTTTTTTCAGTGTAGTATCTAACATATTTCTATTGAACATATTAGATTGAAGATAAACATTATGTGCAAGAAACATACTGCATCAGTCTATAAGATATGGGAATGACTCATGATGGTCTACCGGCTAGACTGTCCGCTTGATAAATGGAAGGTACAAGCTCTACAGCGTAGATATTGATATACCTGTGAATGTCAGTAAGCAACTATTAGCGTGCGCTATCAATATATCGACTCAGTTCTTTTGGTATGTAAGCATTACATTTCCTCTCTCAAAAGATCTCTCAAAATGTGTGGTTATCATTAAATAAAGAAACATGAAGGAATTCATCACTAGAACACTTTCTTTTACTTAATTTTTCTCGAAAGTAAATGATTAGAAAAATGTATTTAACATATTATAAACAATGCTATACTTCTATGCTTACCATTTATCTGCATTTTCTTCACCATCCGAATCAAACCATGCATCGCCCAATGCATCAGAAACTGCTTCTACTATTTCATGTCCAATGCAACTTACCATGGCGTCAACACCGATATCACCATTAGGTGAGACATTTGAGTTGATCCAAGAGGGATCACAACCTGTCCCACTTGTTTTTCCTGGATTTCCTATAAATCCATAGAAGTATGGTGTGTTGCCAATCATGAAATTTACATGATAACCACAATAGTCACTTTTGAATTGTCCACCCATTGGTGACTTTTCGATTACATCTGGAGAAGTGAGCCACAAATAAAGACCATGTGGATCATTTGGCAATGCGCCACTCGTAATATAAGATTTGAGTGCATCAGGTATATTCGTACCCTGAATAGAAGTTCCAAATATGTAGGACAATGTCCATGCACCTCCAAGAGTCAGTGGACCTGATATCGGTAACTGGGAACTTGTCGATGTAGCTTGAGAATAGTAAGTTTTCTCGATATTGTACCATGATGTACTTCCAATATTGGAAATGAAGACGAGTGTAGGATTGATTTGAGTAGAAGTCCAAGTACCATAAAACTGTACATAAAATCATGTAGCTGAACAAACAATAAACAAATGACGTGAAGATACTCACGATAACATAGACTTTAGTAGGTCCAGTTAACACAAGACCACCAGCACCATTAGATGAAAAGTGATACAGAATGTTGGATGTAGATCCAGTATCTATAGTATCTTGTGTATGTTTATTGTTTGGTCGATGTATAGAATGATTTCTATGTCGATTTATTTCTCGTTCGAATCCTGGATCTATATATATATGATTATAATTTCATTTTTTTTTCTATAGAAACATTGATTATCTAATGAAAAAGTTCTTGAGCATTGTCTAGACTAGATTTTGAATAGATATGCAATTTAACAAGTGAAAGGAAATCATAAAAATAATCGATCAATAATTGTGCTCGAAATTCTTAATGAAAATAGACCTATATGGTCATTGAAGAAAAAAACCAATTGACAAATTTGGATAGTTCATGTGCATTAAAAACCGATCTAATGAAAATATTTCGTTTTATAAGTAAAATTTCTAAAGTACTCGTCAAACAAATAAGCAAATTAGTTTATCATATTATTTTATTGGATAGTTTAAGAAGAAAATTTTCTATATAAAGTTATTTATAACAATAGTTAAAAAACCTCTTTCTGAGTTACTATACTATATCATACGAAAGATGCGAATCTCTCTCGAAGAATATTGTTCGTACGAAAAATCTATTCAATTTTTCGATTTTGTATATGAATAAGAGTCTTTATTTCAAGTAGAGTCAAATAAAATATCTATTACAATGAACTCTTATTGTCTGTTGCTATCAGCGAGAGAGCAATATGATGGTATGACAACAGAACGAAACAAAAGAATAATCTTTCTTTGTATGGAATCGAACCATGCATCTCCTGCTTTTTGAACAGTCGTATTAACCACTGTACTAGAAAGGAGTGTATTTTATTCTGTTTGTTTCATCTTATGAATGTAAAGAAACCTTTCAGTTCATAACATGAACATTTTGTTGTTACTTTAATGGAAATATTATTAATTATTCTTACTTCCTTTCTCTATCTTGACATATTCCAATTTATTAATAGTAAATTCTTGATTTTGATTAATAACATATTGTTTCGATGATTTAATAATACTTGCAATGATGATAATTGCTAATAAAAAAGAATTCCAATTTGACTGCATAATGATCGTATCGTCTATAAACATTCCATTAAATGTAAAGACAAAATTAACTAAATGAATATGTTTCTCTTTATAACTTACTTGTAATATTGCTTTTTATTCAGAAGAATAAAGAAGAAATAATGGTTACGTTAGGTAAAATATCTTGGTATTTATATGCTTCAGTTGTGCTATCATTAGTATAGGTAATAACCCTTTACGTAATAATCGAAAAATATTCCCTAGACATTATGATTATATCCCTCTAATCATTCATTAAGAGTCATGATAAACAAACAATAAGAGATAAAGTTAATCGAAACAGAATGGGAAAAAAACGAGCTAGTTCGCTTGTTATTATGCAGAATATGCATCACAATGATTCATACTTGCATAAAATAATATCTAAATACTTAAAAGTATGATCGATGTATTTTGACTTTTCAACTATTAATTATTAGATTCATTTAATTATTTGGATTGTAGACATTTTTATAATAAAGTTCATAAAAATCCATTTTGATTTTTAAAAATTCAAACATCAATAAAGTTCATTTTTATATGAAATTTTATTTATTTTACAACATTTCAATAAATTAGAGTATTAGTTATTGTATGAGCAACAATAACAATACATAATTGAAGTCTTGGATAGATATTAATCTTCATATTATTTTGTAACATTCGAAAAATAAAAATCTTATCATTAGTCAAAGAATGAATACATTAGCATGATTGAAAATCATCTTGAAAAAGCTGAAATTTCTTCAAATTGATAACATTTTACTTTTAAATGAACTAATGTGCGTTTCAAAATATAATGCGTCCCACTGTTTTTTGAATAACTGAAAAACGCAATCAGCTAAAGATCTGCGGTT